TATAAAAGCTGTTCATCACTGTGAATTTGGCCAAAAATACTTATCCCCCAGCAGTCCAGAGGATCCAGGCCCACCTAACCTCAGTGATAAAACCTGCTAACCCAACCCAGAACACCATATCTCTGATTGAACCGAATGCTCAGAACTGGGCCCACACGACAGTACAAGTCCTGCAGGAACATTATGATCAAAATATCTGTAGAGAACTTAATGACCTGTCCCTCTACTCTTTTTCTGACCTGAGAGGGCCACTCCAAATAGCCATTAAATGGGCTAAAAGAAATCTGGGTAGGCGCCTCACACAAGAGACTCTAAATGAGACGGAGAGACTTCTCAGATCTGGTCCAGAAACAGCAGCTCCTACAGAGTCACAGACAACTAGGAGACCAGAGACCCCCCCACCACCCTCTTCGCCTGATCCTGCACCGGGACCACCAACAACAGGGGGCTCAGAGAGAGAAGCTGAGACCCACCGACCCCCCTCTTCTCTTTCTGCTTCTTCAACATCACCATCTTCCTCCTCCTCCTGCACCTCCTCCCCCACTCCTCCTCCTGCACGACATCCACCTGCAACCAGGCCCTCCCCACCAGCTGAACGGACAGAGGGACCTGATCAACAACAACAGAGGGAACAGCAGAACCAGAGCACCGGTCCAGCAGGTGAGCCAAACCAGATCCAGCTCTCACCTGTCATCCCTCTCATTCAGACCCCCCCAGCGCGTAGGCTGATAAACATGGCAACAATGACTGAACCGCAGAGAAGTGACTGGTCACCTGACGCTTTGGGCCAAGCAGAACCTGAGGACCTAACCCAGACTCCTCAGTGGAACAAGTCCTACAGCCCACCAGGTACCTCACGACAGCAGCAGGCCACGCCCCCCTCTCCCCAACCACAGAGAACAGCACGACAGGAGGTAATCTGCATCTCCCCATCACCCCCTCCTCCTGCCACACCCCCCTCACAACCTCGCAGACGGTCAGCAGCAGAGGAGCTGACACAGATGGATAAAGTATTGGAGGAAGTGGAGGAGTATTTTCTGAACACCCCCCCTCTAGAAGAACCAACAGGACGCCTGCTTCGCTCCTCCATCCAGACAACGCTGACGGGCAGCCCACTTACCAAACCTGGACCCAGAGGAACAACATCAGGACAACGCCGGGACACCCCAGCACCATGGATGAC